GGGGGGGGTCCAGACCCGGAGTCCACCCCCCTGGTTGCGCCACTGGTATGTGCACTTCAGTGAGCTGGCTCCGACACCGATAGACGTTGTGTACAACCATAATTACACAGTTGGCGCTGTGATTGAACAACCGGCGAATTTAGGATTTTAGGTTATACGTTTTCGTGTTTTTATAATCTAAGAAAACCACTTTCACCCTACAAAAACATATTTAATAATTTTCTCGAATTCCAGGGAAGGTTTTGAACCCCCCCTTCCACCCGTGTACCGTTTGTCATCACTCGGCAACCAACAACAGGTTAACAACGCCGTTAAGTACTAATGAGTTGTTGCACAGCCGGTGCAGATCACGGACGACGAGCGTTATTGTATTACCGGCGCTCGGGGCGGACAGCAAAACGTTTCGGAAAACAGAATTCGGACGGTGCGCAACGTAACGCGTGAATATAGCACTGCCTCGAATGCGCTAGTGATAATCGGCCGGTGTGATTGTGTCCCGCGCCGCCGACGGCCAATAATAACAATAACAACAACAATACACACCATAACAGGTACATTTTACATTGTAATACGGACGTAAATCGACAATACACTGATTGATACTGGATACTCCTTCGTACGGAACAATTCGCGCGTCCACACAAAGAGTTCGTCCGGTAACATTATTACTATTATTACTACTATTACTATTATTACTAATACTACTACTATTATTATCATTATTATTATTATTATTATTATTAATTTATTGTTTTTTAGTGTGCGCGGTCTATTATTCCATGACCCGCTCAGGGCTAATCGGTTCATAATAACCCTCTAACTTTTTCCAGCGTTTCATGACTGTTTTTCTCGACGGACACGCGAAAGGAAAAAAGAAATTATGTACAAACGAAATTGTTTTGTGACGCTGACCGCGATGTACGTCGCGTCGATGATGGTCACCGCTGAGTCGCCGACTGGTGTGTACGTAGATACTGGCATCCAGACTGTTAAGCAAGATATAATGTCTATCGAAGAACGGAACGAAGTCGAACAGGAAATATTGACCATGTTTGGTGTGCCTAAAAAACCGAGGAAGGCTCCGAAGAATTTAAATGGTTCAGCTCCTCAGTTTTTGTTTGATGTCTATAAATCTCTACAGGAAGGGTCACGCGACAGGAAAACAAGAAGTGTTTCTGATGTTGGATTATATGATGATCGAACTGTACAAGACAGTGATGTTATTGTTACGTTATACTTATCAAATCATTGTAAGTATTGATAAATGCTCATTTTTAATGAAGATTATTTAAAAAAATCTTCCAATAGGTATAAACTATTTTTATTACTAAAGTTTTTCATTTCTAAAAAATAAATTTTACATATTATAATATGCTTCATTACCAAATTTTAAACTATAAGTTAACAAATTTATATCTAAATATAGTTTTTCATATTTTTTATAAGGTAAATCCAAATAGGTATTTTAATATTTTTACATTAAAATGAAATAGTATTTATGTACTTTATGAGTACTGATTCTAATATGCAAGGTGCTTCAATAAACTAACTTTGTTATAGTTCTATATTGTTTGTTGAATTTATTTTTAGCTCCAATAAGTAATGTACGCCATGAACATGGAAAACGAATTTTATTTGAATTAAATGATGTACCTTCTGAAGAAACTCATATGATTACTTCAGCTGAAGTTCATTTATATCAATCTGGTAATTCAAATAGTATCAAAAAGTATTCAGTAACTTTATATCAAGTTTTAATAACTGAAAGTGGGGAAAAAGAATTAGAATTTGTAGCTACTCAAAATACTACAACAGATTATGACGGATGGCTTCGGTTTAATGCAACAGGTGCTCTTGTTTCATGGATCCATTTTTTATATCCAAATCGAGGATTTTATGTTTCTGTACATTCACTTGATAATGAAGATCGTGAGATTAAACCTGAAGAAATTGGTATGGTAACTTGGGCTGACAAACATCAATTGTCTGAAGCAAAAAAACCTTTTATGGCAGTTTATTTGAAATCCAGAAATGGAGGTAATATAGTTGGTGGTCCTTCACTTCAGAAACACTACAGACGGAGAAGAAGAAAAACTATTGAAAGTAGTTTCAATTCTAATCCTTTTCAAAACATTGGAGATGGATTTCAGTCTAGGAGTTGTCAGATACAAACATTATACGTGAGCTTCAGAGATCTTGAGTGGCAGGATTGGATTATAGCTCCTGATGGCTATGGTGCATTTTATTGCACTGGTGAATGTAATTTTCCGCTCAATGCTCATATGAATGCAACTAACCATGCTATTGTTCAAACTCTGGTACATCTAATGAGTCCATTGCAGGTACCTAAACCATGTTGTGCTCCAACGAAAATGGCACAACAGGCAGTACTATTTTTTTTAGAAGATAACAATGTTATATTAAAAAAATATAAAAATATGATTGTGAAAAGTTGCGGATGCCATTAAATACTTTTTTCATTAAATATGAGTACAACTCTATGGCTG